TTGCAAACCCCCATGCAGTTCAGTGCCACATGCCTTTCTTTGAGGGCCTCTGCCATAAACACACTGACTCTGCAACGCTGCAGTCAGGTCTTCGCTTGCCCTGATGTCTGCCCTCACTTAGGATAAAAACTCCTACTTCCTGGGAAGAATCTTCCCCATGGGGCCCACAGGAGGACTTACAGATGCTCCACCTTCTTGAAAAATGAGGCTGCTTTTCCGTAGGTGCTGGATTCAATTACTCACTCTGGCAGTGCCCTGCAGAGATTTAGCTTCTTTTTCAAGGCACTGTGTTATGTCCCCTTGCCAGTACTCCTTCAGTGGCATATGAGGCCAATGTTGGGCTTAAAGTATTGCTTACCATAGAAATAATCACGTGCTTAAATTCCAAAGCACATGCCTATGAACCAAGGTCTCATCCTGACTGGCCGGGCACACCACACTGTGTGTGAGATGACACACGTTCCTCTCTGCTGGGCAGAGAGCCGTTTCTCTCAGCCTGAGACACGTACGTGTGTTCGCCTCTGTGCTGCTTGTGGTGCTGAGAGTCACAGTTCACAGAGAGGAATAAGCACTTGGAAAGGGCAGTTCCACACCCTGGCTTGGACACGGAGACTGGGATGAGATGTAGACATCTTCATCTGGTCTAATGAATCCCATCGTACCGGTCCTCCAACACGAACTGGCCAGGCAAGCCCAGCGGCCTTAACACAAGCAATATGGGGAGACTCACCAGACTGAGGAGCATCCCTGCGTGTCCCTCAGCGCTGTGCTGCAATCCTTTCTGCTCATGTTTTCAGATCGCCCTGTGTCTCACATAAGGGAGGTCATGAAGTTTCATACAGATTTTTTCCTTTGAAAGAGTATTTCCTTGCCAGACTAGAGATGTGTCCTCCAGACCCAAGGAAATGCCGTGGCTCTGGAGTCATCTGCAGGCAGGGAGGGTTATTGAAGGCTAAAGCCTAGCTCTGCCCTTTTCCCATGGCACCACTGGTCCTTGAGGGGGACAGGGATCTCAGGGCTGTTCCAGCAGTTAGAGGCAGAGCTGGTGCACGGGGAGGTGATGGTGGTGGTGCCAGCAGAATGGTACTTTGCAGTGCGCTCTGTGCACCTGTACAGATGGAGCTGTGCAGCTTGTTCTGCCACAGATACCACTCTGCCACTGCTGCTGCCATTCCGGTCTTGCTTTCCACAGTCTGGCTCAGTTTCCATGGGTTGTGGGTGTCGGAGGGGCAGGCGGATCTGCAGACAGATGAGCTGCACCATATGCAGTTCTGTGGTGGAAAACTGATGCAGACCCCAGACCAGACCCATCCATGGGAGCTCTCTGGATGGGCTGCTTAAATCCTTCATTCCTTCTCTCTTTATCCCTCCTCTACTGACAAACCAAAGCTTTTAAATCCCTCCTCGTGGTCTCATTAGTCAGGCTGTGGCTGGGCTCTGGGCTGCAGGGCTGCTGCTGTGCTGTCATCTGCCTTCTGGGGATGAGTTCTTCTGGACATGCCTATGAACCAAGGTCTCATCCTGACTGGCCGGGCACACCACACTGTGTGTGAGATGACACACGTTCCTCTCTGCTGGGCAGAGAGCCGTTTCTCTCAGCCTGAGACACGTACGTGTGTTCGCCTCTGTGCTGCTTGTGGTGCTGAGAGTCACAGTTCACAGAGAGGAATAAGCACTTGGAAAGGGCAGTTCCACACCCTGGCTTGGACACGGAGACTGGGATGAGATGTAGACATCTTCATCTGGTCTAATGAATCCCATCGTACCGGTCCTCCAACACGAACTGGCCAGGCAAGCCCAGCGGCCTTAACACAAGCAATATGGGGAGACTCACCAGACTGAGGAGCATCCCTGCGTGTCCCTCAGCGCTGTGCTGCAATCCTTTCTGCTCATGTTTTCAGATCGCCCTGTGTCTCACATAAGGGAGGTCATGAAGTTTCATACAGATTTTTTCCTTTGAAAGAGTATTTCCTTGCCAGACTAGAGATGTGTCCTCCAGACCCAAGGAAATGCCGTGGCTCTGGAGTCATCTGCAGGCAGGGAGGGTTATTGAAGGCTAAAGCCTAGCTCTGCCCTTTTCCCATGGCACCACTGGTCCTTGAGGGGGACAGGGATCTCAGGGCTGTTCCAGCAGTTAGAGGCAGAGCTGGTGCACGGGGAGGTGATGGTGGTGGTGCCAGCAGAATGGTACTTTGCAGTGCGCTCTGTGCACCTGTACAGATGGAGCTGTGCAGCTTGTTCTGCCACAGATACCACTCTGCCACTGCTGCTGCCATTCCGGTCTTGCTTTCCACAGTCTGGCTCAGTTTCCATGGGTTGTGGGTGTCGGAGGGGCAGGCGGATCTGCAGACAGATGAGCTGCACCATATGCAGTTCTGTGGTGGAAAACTGATGCAGACCCCAGACCAGACCCATCCATGGGAGCTCTCTGGATGGGCTGCTTAAATCCTTCATTCCTTCTCTCTTTATCCCTCCTCTACTGACAAACCAAAGCTTTTAAATCCCTCCTCGTGGTCTCATTAGTCAGGCTGTGGCTGGGCTCTGGGCTGCAGGGCTGCTGCTGTGCTGTCATCTGCCTTCTGGGGATGAGTTCTTCTGGGGAGAGCCATTTAGATGTGGTGTTGGGGGATATGGTGTAGGGGAGAACTTTGTAGAGAAGGGTAGATGGTTGGACTCAATGATCCCAAGGGTCTTTTCCAACCTAGACAATTCTATGATTCCCAGGGAGGAAGCGGCCCGGTGCTGCGGTTGTGAAGCACAATGTGCTTCACCTGCTCCACCGATCTTCTGGTTTTAGTGTCAAATTTTCCAGAGCTTTTCCTGAAGGGAGCATGCAGAAAAAAGATCAAAGGGTCTAGGCTAGGGTGAGCACCCTTCCCTTTCAGGAGGTACATGGCTAAAGGTGCTGAGTCCCCTTCCACATGGGCTCATTTGGCAGCTGCCCCTGGCTGTGCTCCAGGGGATGCCAGGAGGGAGAAGGCTGGGGGACACAAGCTGCTCTCCACAACCTCACCAGCAGCCATCTCAAGTGTCTGGCAAGCAAGAGAGTTTTAAACCCATGTGTTTTCCTCTTGTAGGTTTTATTCAAACTTCTTTTGGGCAGTGCTAAATTTGGAGAAGCTGCCTTATTCCTGTCCGTGTTAGCTGTCTTCAACGTCCTCTTCGTTACCTGTATTCCCGTCATCCTTTATTTTACCAAAGTGGAGTACTGGAGCTCTTTCGACATCGTTCCTTGGGGAAACCTCTGTGGATTTTCGATTCTCTTATTGAGTGAGTAGACATGGGGCTCTCGGGCTGCTTGGGGTGGATGGTGCCAGAAACTGACTGCTGGTGGCAGCTGCAGATCCCTGCCATACTGCAGCTGTTTGCCCTTCTTCTCAACCTAATTATTAGCTTGAGAAATCATGTAGAGAGTCCCTTCCTAGGTGGCAATGTAGACTCCAATTCTGCTGTTATTACCAAGCCAGGATATTGTGGCCCTCATTAGAAGGTGTTGTGGGACTAAACTGTAAAGCTTGTCCTAACTTCTACTCGTGATCTCTGCCTCACAGAGACAAGTGGCACTTGCCTGGGCTGTGATGGGGAGCAGCCCTCCAGGCAGGGCATTACCTTGGGCCCATCAGCATCCCCCAAACAAGCAGGTTAGGCCAGGCCAGTCAAGGTGGCCTCCACTGAGTTCAGTAATAGCTAATTGCTATTTCTAAAGAGCAGGAAAGTTTTGAAAATGTAAGCGTTGCATAGCGCTGATGGGAATTTAGTAGGTGGCACTGCTGGGCCACCAAGGGAACCCAGCTTGGGAGAGGTGCCAAGCCTTAATCCCAGCCTTAATGATTAATGGTCATCAGTTCTAAAAACAGAAGTGTGATGCTGTTCCTTGTTAAACTAGATGTGTTGACTGTGCTGCTACAGTTGGCTCCTGAACTGGATGACAGTATCACATCTCCTAAAACTTTGATTTCTACTGGAAATAGCCCTTCTCCATCCCCATCTTGAGTCCCAGATCCTTTTACCCTGAACAGTCACAGCACTTGGCTCTAGAAGTACCTCCAGTTTACTTATCTGTGGACTCAGTGGAAGTTTTCTGTAAGGAAGCAGTGCAGAGCTTGGCAAGCGATCCCTGGGGCGTGCAATGTATAGGTACTGCTAGAAAACAGTCAGAGCCCCAGCTGCTGACAAGGTCAGTATTGGCAAGGCTGTCCTGACTTTGCTAAAGCTGATCAACAAGGGTGAATTTGGTCCAAGCAATTGTTAATTTGTTGTAAGACACTCCATGAATAGTATGTGGTATTACAATGGAGTGATATTATAATCATTCAGTTGTAATGATACTGTAATGATATTATAATGATAATATAATTTCATTGTATGAAATTGTATTTAGCAAGTTCCTGTCTGGAAGAAGGTTAGATTTCCACTTGCAGCTGGAGGCAGCTTTTTCATTAAAAGAAGTATCCAGCCAGAAGCGACTGCTTGGCTGAAATCTCCCAGGTGACAGTGTTTAGTCTTGCAGCAGGGCAGTGGATCCCTGCAGAGAGTGGGAGTCACTGCGTGTTACGCTGAGAGACAGGCTGTACCCCTGATCCCGCCACTGCACCCCAGTGGGATATAGAATTCCCTGGGAACAGCAATGTCTCAGGCAGACAGGAATGCAGCAGACAGGGGCCTGTCCACAGGTATCTTCCAGGAGTAACAACAGAAGCTGTTGCCTTCTATATAAACAACATACAGAGGGAGTAATAAAGTGTAAAGGTTTCAAGTGACATTCCCTCTTCCTCGTTTCACTGTACTAAAAGATGTTTTTCTTTCCTTTCTTTTTCAGCATTCAATATTCTACTAAATTTTGGGATTGCTATCACCTACCCCACTTTGATTTCTCTTGGAATTGTACTGAGCGTCCCAGTGAATGCGGGTAAGAATTTCTGCCTTGCATCTTAATGAACACATTAAATCTGTGCTCTTTGAAATACACAACAGGGATAAAAGCAAATAGCTTTATTAAACACGTTTTGCATCTTCTCTCAAAGACTCACAAAGATGACACTGATTAAAAATGTATACTTTGTGTTAAATATGTAATGTATAACATTACATAAATGTTCATCATCTCTAGAATTTCTTTTCCACTTACTGTCCAAAGAAGCCAGCATACTGAAAAAAAAAAAACACCTAGATTTGAAGTCATGCTTCTCATGGATGAGTAGAAATCAATTCTTAATAATTTAGTTCAAGGCAGGCTTAACACTAAATTGAAACAAATAGAAGTGCTTACATTTTAGAGCAAATATGTATTAGTAATTCTGCTTGCCTTGGTAAATAACATTGCAGGTGTTCATCAAGTACACTGGGGCATTCAACTGGTACATTGTCAGTTTTCTGAACTTTAGGGAAGGCCAAGAGACTGCAGAGCCCTAGAGGCTCCACAGTCATGTTCTCCTGCACCAGCCAGCCCTCAGAGCCAGGGAGGCAAGGGGGAGGGAAGGGGATACCTAATGCTTTCTCATGTAATAACACCCGTTCAATGTTCCACACAGTTGTTGATCACTACACCAGTGAAATTGTCTTCAACAGTGTCCGAGTAATTGCCATCATCATTATTGGCCTGGGCTTCCTCCTGCTGCTCTTGCCAGAGGAATGGGATGTCTGGGTAATAAAGCTCCTCACGCGTCTCAAAGTCCGGAAGAAGGAAGAAATCCCTGAAGGAAATGGAGACATTGCTTCAGGACTGCCTAACAAAAGCCGGAGAACTCGCCCCTCCATGTCATCCTTTGCTCATTAAATGCTCTTTTTACCAAAACTTTGTGGTTAACCTTATATATGATGACGCAAAGGTCTTTTCTTGGGAAGAAGCACACCTGTCCAACATGGTGTACATACCTGTACAGTTTTGATATGATCACCATCTAAGGCATCGAGTCTTGGCATGTCCAGTTTGCTTGTACTTTTTTCACATCAGACCTTTCACTTAAGTAGTACACTGAAAAAAAAAAACAACAAACCTGCAAACCAAGAACCTCTCTTCTCTTTTTAAATGAATGTAATATATAGTCAAAATATATTATTTGCATAGGTTATTTTAAAGAATGATTTTCATGAAAAGCAGGGCAGACATTTTGAACATTAGGTACCGAATGATGCATTGCACACTGTGATTTAAAAGAAACAAATGCTATGCTACATCACACGTTTATTTTTGACCAGAGCTGTACTCTAAAAGTTTTCAAGGAACCAAAAGGGAATCTTTTTGGGGACAGGAAGATGGGGGAAAGAGTGGAAGGAAGGAGGTTTGGAAATCACTTTATGTAGACGAGCGCATGTTGCGCTGCAACCAGGAGAAAATTCAAGTGCTACAAATGCATGCACTAAAGCACTAGAGAGAAAGCAGTTTAGAGCCCAGATCTCCTTATTCTGCACATGACTGTAGTCCATGTTTAAAATCATGCAAGAGAAATCCAGTGCCTTCTACACAACTCTTGTCTTTATCCACGCAGAACCAGGTCCCACCGCGAGGCCCTTGCTTGCGATGGCAGGGCTCGGGCTCGCAGCCCCGGGGGACCCCAAATTCCCACTGACACCAGGACGTGCTCCCCCATATGTGCCGTGGCTTCTGTGGGAGTGCAGGGCCCAGGGGACTGCAAGTTTGCGTGCAGGAGACCTGGCTCTCTTCTCACTAGCACAGGTTTTTCCCCTGTGTGGAGCTGCGCTTGCCCAACACCAGTGTGAGGAAGGGGAAGTCTTGGTCATGTGTGGGACAATCCGACCGAAAATGATCAAAGGGGCTGGCAAGAGCGTGGTTGCTGAGGTACAGTCTGAGAGCACGGACTAAGGGGGTGAATCGCCAGTTGCTTTTACTCCATAATTGTGAGTGTTAAGAGTTAAAAATGTAAGATATTTACATCAAATGTAACACTTTTTATGAACCTTGTAAGCACCAGGATGTTTACTTACGCGATTTTGGTTCGCCATTAAATTTCTATCTGTGATAGATCACATGCTATGTAAAAAGGGGGGGGGAAAGGTTATAGTTTACTATTTTTGAAGTTTACATTGTTGCATACAAAATTAAAAGTGTTCTTTTGAACTGCTGCCATAGCCTAAGAGTCCCTGCTGCCACTGAGGCCCTCTTTGTCTCAGGCAGGGGTGGCATCCACTTTAAAACATTTTAGCAAATCAACTTCAGATTCCATTACCTGTTTGGCAAAGCTAAATAATAAAAGATTTTAAACTCACCTTCAGCCAATGCTATCTGTTTCCTTCTCTTGACTACATCTTTATTCCAGTGTTATTGTGGGTCGTCTTCAGCCAAAGCGATCAGAAGGGAAAGACACAATCAGCAAAGCAACCAAGCCCAGTCTCTCCTCAACACAAAAGTCTTCTCTAGACTTCCTGGACAAATCCATCCTGGGGTCTCATGTTCGGCATGTCAGGAAACACGTGTCTGGCAGAAGTAGATCAAAGGAAAAGCTAACCTTTTGGAACCATCGGTGAGCAGCCATACATGCATATGCTAACAGGTATTTAAGGACTATGGATGGGACATGAGTTTGTACATTAATAATTAGGCCCTAGTCCAGCCCGTGTGCTGTTCCCTACATATTTCTTCATGGCCAAACAGACACTAAAGATTTGCTACCAGAGATTACGTGCGCAAGCTAAAAATCAGACTATGGGAAGCTGCTCACAAGCACTGTTCCATCCAGGGTTACACAAATAAAATTTTTAATCTATTTCTTTGGGAAGGAGAGGAGGGTAAGGCACAGGGCAGGAGTGCAGGTACAACTCTAATAATTGGTTTGAAGGGTACACACAGGCTTAGAGTTTTCTCCATCTTCCTGCACATGATTTTGTCATCCTCAAAGTACCCCACACCGCTCCCAAGTCCCCTGTCTTGGGGGAAAGGCCAGAGAATAAAGCACAAACAGTCCTTCCATTTTCCATAGTCCCAATAAGTGGCATCTTCTGTCATCACTGCACTCCATTTGCCTGTGTGTTTGGTGCAGCTTGGTAGGTACCCAAAAGGTTCTAAATGCCACCTTAAAAAATGCAACTAAAGTGTGTTTATGACTAAAATGGCAGCAGATTTTTTAACATTCAGTACAGATTGGGGGTGGGGGAGGCACGAATTTATGCACCCGAACGGAAAGTACCATCAGTAAAACTCTGACTTACCAGATGCAACTGTCATTGCTTCTGTTGGCTCATCCTTCCTGAGAACAGGCTAAATGCATGCAAGGGCTGAGATTTCAAGCAGCAATATATTACAATTTCTCTCCCAAATAGGAGCTGAAAAAACTAAATTATCCATGTTAAGCAATGCTGAACTACACATAGACCTATGGGTAGTCTACACCTAGAACTCAGATGAAGTGACCTATATTTCTTCAGGCAAAATGTTGCTTTAAAGCACCTGACTTGGCAGCGAGCAGCTGCTTAGCAAAACCTTCTGGACACTGAAGCCCAGGGTGTGACTAGGAGAATGTCAAGAAAACAGTACATCCCTATCAGTAAGCACATGCATCTATAACTGCCAAAGCTTCATAGATCTGAAGCTGAGGAATGAAAAGAACTGGAGTCATTGGCTCCCACCAGAAGGACAAGAGAGCAAACCCTTCTGAGAAAGCATTAGATGCAACCAGGCGACCCTTCAGGTGAGGGTAATATTGAACCCTCCTGATCTTGGATAGTTAAAGCACTCCCAGGACAAATTCAGCACCTTGGAGGTGACGGCTGAGTAGTGGCAGGCTCCTCTGCTTGCCCTCATGGGCTAAAGGACTGTGAGCAATCCCTGCAGCACCCTGCGAGTCAGACCACAGCTGGCCTGTATGGACCCCACGCAGCTCTGCAGGGCTGTATCTGCTCTGTAGAAGAGAGCAACACAAGCCTGGAACCAGGACTTTTACCCCACCCTGGCCGCCTCAAACCTCCTCCTGAGGCAGAACTACATCTCTCTGTAGCATCAAAGACACCAGGCAGCAAGGTCTGAAGCTGGTCTCCTGCCTCATCACTGTGTGGCTCCTACCCCTGCATAGCACTGCCAGCCACCAGTGTGTACCCTTGTTCAAGGGCTGACCTGAATCCTCAGCTTTCTGTCCCCAACTTAGTCCTCACAAAGTGTCTTGGCTCCTTCAGCAAAGGGGGAAACAAATAGTGATCCACTGAGCTTGTTAAAACAGCAAGTTGAAAAAAAAAAATCTCAGGAAAGTAAATAGCAGCACCAGACCCCACTGCAGGTGCCAGCTTTTGCTGCACACAGTACAGCAGTGAAGAATCCATGGGAAAGAACAGCAGTTCTCCCCCTCCCTTGCACATCTTTCTCCTTGGCCTGTTGTCTGTAGTTGTCTCCTGCTGCTACCTTTATCATAATCTTTTATTGTAACTCCCCACGGTGACTGCATGAGCCTTTCATCAGCATATGAGTCACAGCTGGGCTTATTTTTAAAAAAGTCTCCTGTTCTTCTGTCTAGGATGGTTGTTTTCATATCAGTAGTCTTCACAAAAGTAGCTATGAAAGGCAGAAATCTAATCACAATACTCAACGGTTGAACAGAAGACAACGAAACCAACATGTAGCTATACTGGTTTGAGGGTTAAGGGCAGGCTAGCAGGACTTGCAGATCACCAAGTTCTGGGGCTGAATTAATGCCTTCTGTAAGGTCAGGGACAAATGATGCATCCCCAGCTCTCCAGAGTGCTCTGTAACAAAGCTAGTGCAATATTGAGTTGGTCGGGGTTAATACAGACAGTATCTTCAATCTCTAGGGAAGATAACATCACCAGGTGGACACCATTTCTGGTCAAAACCCTTTCTGCTACTGTACCTGCAGGCCTGCAAAGCCACTGAAAAGTGAAGGTTTCCCTGTGCAGTGAATACAGAAGTCTTAATTGGCTTGCATAGCTCTGGATCATATTCCCAATAAACTCACAAGTCTGCACAACAGAAACACACATGAAACACTCCTCCTCTGCACTGAAAGGGATGTCACAGGTCTCCAGCACTTCAGAAGCCCTAGGAACAGCATCAATCACCAGCCTGAGCTACACAGACTCAGAAAGCAGGCTGAGGCCGGGGTGGTTCTTCAAGGAATTGGGGAAGAACAGCAGACAGAAGCAATGCAGCTGCTGTGAAGCAGAAGCACAGGAGAGCTGCTGATGGGATCAGGACAGAAATGCCTTTTGGGAGAGGCTTTCCAGGGGAAGATGTCCACCTGCCCCTTGCTACAACTCCAGTATGAAGAAATGGGGTCTGTGCACTTGCTGTAAAGTCATAAACTATGGGGAGTTTGGCTTCACGTCCCTGATTTGTGCTACAGAAAGGATGGGGTCCTTTCGGGCCTCCAAACCTGAGCTACTTCTTGGCAAAGGCCAAGGCTAAGAAGCTTCTTTCACAGTCCAGCCCTCGTGCAAGCTGTCTTTGCAGAAACTGCCAGCAGTAATGGATTTTGATGGATGAGTTTAATTAGCACATCGTTACTAAAAGAGAAGCAATTAGATTTTCTTCTTCAGCTGGCATGTTCTAGGGCATTTCCATAATAACCTGCACCTTATCTAAAAATCCTGAACATTAGAAAGGGACATAAGAAAAAAAGGAGCTGAAAGATCTTGTAAAAGAAAAAAAAAGGAAGTCAAATTCCCACCTGCAGCCTAAAAGCCTTCTTTTAAGATGAAACCACATTCCTAAGGGCAGGGCCAGTAGCTCAAACTAAGGTGTCTGAAAATAATAAGCCTCATATTTGTTTCTTCCACCTGAAAGTCTGTTAGAGGGGTCTTAATATATGCACAAGGTCATTCTAAAAAAGGTAGTGATCAGTATTTCTCCATGTACATCACAGATACCGAGAAGCTGATCGCATCCTAGTGTAATGAAGAGTGAAACATACAAGGAGAGCTACAATTCTGGAAAAAGCTTAAACAAAGGAGATGGTGGAGCTCACATTAGTAGCAAACCTGTTAAATGCAATTTCTCTGCAACTGTCTAGAGACATTTCGTTAATCCTACTGCTGAGCTAGATGATCTCTTCAGAAGACACAAAAGATTTTTCCATCTCTTCATCTCCATCTCTCCCTCTACTTCTAGATTCAGTCCACCTAACATCTCAAGACATCTCAGTGCATTGATTGGGAACAACAGCAATCAACCTGTAGAGCATCTTTCACTCAAATGGAGAGAACTAAAGTAGATGTATTTTAACAGAGCTTTCCACCATAAATTGAGAATCTTTTTGATGAGTGACAACAGTCAATTTAGAGACCCTTATCACTATTTTAGACTTTTTCACCATGCCGTTGCCTCATGTCTATTAATGCTGAATGCCACCAGCTATTTTGCTGCCTTGCCACATGACAGTGAGAGATCCTCTCTCAGTTTTAGTCTTGACTCTCCTGAATCAGTAAAAAAGTATGGTCACAAAATGTTTTTTTGACCAATCATTTATGAGTACATAGAAGACGACTGGCCTCAGCACAGGTCCTTTGGTAATCTCTCTCCTTTTAAACAGCAACAATTTATTCCTGCTTTTTGTTTCCTTCCTCCCTAACCAGTTATTAGCCCACAAGAAAACCTTCTGGTTTGATCCACAGCAGCTTAATTTCTTTGGTAAGAAGCCTCATTAGAAACTCTTCAGAAATCTAAGTGCACTATTTCCTATTCTCTAAAGAAAAAGGGCCAAGGTGAGTCTGTGGAAAGTCATCCATCCTTCACACTCCTTTTAACATGAAAGAACAAGACTACCAAGAGACTGAGACTTCTTCTCTGCCTTTCCATAGGGAAGGCCGCCCTCACTAACTTCTGCAGCCAAGGCAGCCACCAACTCCCAACTCCACCTTCTGCACATCACAACTGACCCAGATGCTTAAAAGATTCTTATAAGATCCTTAAGAGAATCCTAAAAGCTGGATTCCAGTGCGGTCCAAGCAGCAGGATTTGTAAGGACTTACAAAATGTGAACTTCAGCTTGGATTTCCTGCCTTGTTGGCTATGAGCATACATTATTGGCAAGTAAAGATAGCTGTGCTGTCTCCCAGCGACAGGTCTCACTGTCTCTCTGCCTTCTGAAGCTGCCAAGTCTTCAATGACAGCAGCCTAGTTGCAGAATAAGTTGTGTAATACTCTCCTTGAGATTTTTGGCCAATTTTACATTTTAAATGCCTTCCTGACTTGTAAACATCTCTCATTGTGCAAATTTGGATTCGGTCAATGGCATGTCACTTGCTAGCTTGGCTATTAAGAAAACTGACATTTATCTTGGGAACAAATACTCACCATGTTTGAGAACTATGTGGCTTTTGTGCACAAGCAATTCCATCTGGTACAGTACACCTACGCTTCACAGACAATGTTTATAGTGAAATAAGGCAATCAGTGCAGCTGATGGATTATTAAATACAATACCTGAATGCAAGCATGCAGCTGGATTTTTGATAGAGAATTCTAGGAC